AATAAACATGGGTGTGCAGGTGCCTCTGGAGTAACCTGTGTCACAGTCTTTTGGGTATATCCCTAGAAGTATTGCTGGATCATATGGTAGGTCTATGTTTAGTTTTTTAAGAAGCCTCCATATTGTTTTCCAAAGTGATTGTACTAGCTTACATTCCCACCAGCAGTTTATGAGGTACCTTTTCCCCCTCATCCTCAACAACATTTGTTGTTGGTGGTGTTTTTGATGATGGCTATTCTAACAGAGGTGAGGTGGAATCTTAGTGAGGTTTTGATTTGTATTTCTTTTATGGTCAGGGATGGTGAGCATTTTTTCATGTGTTTTTTGGCCATTTGGATTTATTCTTTTGAAAAAGTTCTGTTTAGTTCAGTTGCCCACTTCTTTATTGTTCATTGATTTTGGGGGAGTTTAGTTTTTTTGAGTTCCCTGTATATTCTGGTTATATGTCCTTTGACGTATAGCCAGTGAATATTTTCTCCCACTCTGTGGGTGGTCTCTTCAGTTTAGAGACCGTTTCTTTGGTTGTGCAGAAGCTTTTTAATTTCATGTAGTCCCATTTGTCCATCCTTTCTCTTAGTTGCTGGGCTGCTAGAGTTCTATTGAGGAAGACTTTGCCTATACCTATTGCTTCCAGAGTATTCCCTGCTCTTTCCTGTACTAACTTCAGAGTTTCGGGTCTGATACTAAGGTCCTTAATCCACTTTGAGTTGATACTAGTATAGGGTGACAGGCATGGGTCTAGTTTCAGTTTTCTGCAGGCAGATAACCAGTTTTCCCATCAACATCTATTGAAGAGGCTGTCTTTTCTCCATCTGTTTTTGGTGTCTTTGTCAAAAATAAGGGGGCATAGCTGTGTGGATTCATAACCGAGCCCTCTATTCTGTTCCACTGGTCTTCATATCTGTTTTTGTGCCAGTACCATGCTGTTTTTATTGCTATTGCTTTGTAATATAGTTTAAAGCCAGGTATTGTGATATCTCCAGCATTGCTGTTTTTGCTGAGTATTGCCTTAGCTATTCGAGGTCTTTTGTGTTTCCATGAACTTTAGGGTAGATTTTTCAATCTCTGTGATGAATGTCATTGGGATTTTGATGGGAATTGCACTGAACATGTAGATTGCTTTGGGTAGTATAGCCATTTTTACTATGTTGATTCTACCAATCCATAAGCATGGGAGACCTTTCCACCTTCTGTAGTCTTCCTTGATCTCTTTCTTCAGAGGTTTGTAGTTCTCCTTGTAGAGGTCATTTACATCCTTTGTTAAGTTTACTCCTAGGTTTTTGATTTTTTTGAGGCTATTGTAAATGTAATTGTTCCCATATATTTTCTCAAATTGTTCATTGTTGGTATATAGAAAGGCTACTGATTTTTGTAAGTTGATTTTGTTTCCTGTACATTGCTGAAGCTGTTTATGGTGTCTAGGAGTTTTTGGGTAGAGTTTTTTGGGTCTTTGAGGTCTAGGATCATGTCATATGCAAATAGGGATATTTTGATAGTTTCTTTGCCTATTTGTATTCCTTTTACTTCTTCTTCTTGTCTTATTGCTCTGACTAGAAATTCCAGGACTATGTTGAATAGGAGTGGGGAGAGTGGACATCCTTGTCTTGTTCCTGATTTTAGGGGAATGGTTTCAGTTTTTCTCCATTAAGTTTGATGCTGGCTATAGGTTTATCATATATAGCCTTTATAATGTTGATGTACATTCCTTCTATTCCTAGTTTTTTTAGAGCTTTTAATCATGAAGTGGTGTTGAATCTTATCAAAGGTTTTTTCTGCATCTATTGAGATGATCAAGTGGTTTTTGTCTTTGCTTCCATTAATAAGTACACAACTCTTGAACAGTTTAATCTAAAGTTTTTCAGTTCACACTATTTCTTTTAGTTGCTCAAATATAGCCATTGTTTTAAAAATTGTTCTCTTTAAATTAGACATTTGGGGACAATCATTTATTAGATAGTTTTGAAAGTTGGGCTTCAAAACTTGTCTTCAAGGTAACTTTCCATATTCTGGTAAGCCAAACAATTTGATTGAAGAGAAAATAAAAAGCTAGGGGTTTTTTTTGCCAGGCATGGTGGTACATGCCTATAATCCCAGCTACTCAGAGGTAGAGATAGGAAGATCAAAACCCAAAGCCAGCAGGCAAAAGACAAGACCCTATCTGAAAAACAAGCTAAAAGCAAAAGGATTAGAGGTTTGGCTCACATGGTAGAGTAGGAAGCTAGAGGCTCTGAGGCCAATCCCACGTACTGGGGGGGGGAGGGGAATAGCTCATTTTTGTTTTAGTTTGTGTTTTTTGTTTTGGTGCTGGGGATGGAACCTGTCGTATGCTGGGTGCTGGGCAGTGCCCTACTTCTGCTTCATGACTCCAGCTCAAAAAGCTAATCTCAAAGTAACCTTCAAAATCCCAACTTTAATGAAAAATGAATAAATATCAAACCCCAAAGGGGGAAGAATGGTCACTCCCATGATAGTGTGTATGTGCCATTTTCAGTTTCCACGATTCCAAAGTACTTTTATTTTATTTTAATTACTTGTGATTCCTACTTAGGGAATTTCCAAATAGTCCAAATTGCTATTTAAAAAAAAAAAAAAAGCAACATCAGCCAGGTGCTGGTGACTCACACCTGGAATCCTAGCTACTTGGGAGGCTAAGATCAGGAGGATCAAGGTTTGAGGCCAGTCTGGGTAAATAGTTCATGAGACCCTATCTCCAAAATAACAGAGCAGATAGCAACATCATAAAATTACCTTTTTTACCAAAGGGGAAATGATTGTTTCAATTCCTCATGGGCTCTTTTTGTGTGTTTTCTTTCTTGTGGTACTGGAGATTGAACTTGGGCGTTGCACTTGCTAGGCAAGTGCTCTACCCCTTGAGCCACTCTGCCAGCCCTTTTTCTATAGATATTTTTCAAATAGGGTCTTGCTTTTACTCCCAGTCAGGCCTGCACCACGATCTTCCTATTTACATGCCCTGAGCAGTTGGGATGTCAGGTATGTGCCACCATGCCAGGCTTTTTATTGGTTGAAATAGGATCTCAGTCACTACTTGCTTGAACCCTGATCCTGCCCATCTCCACCTCTGTTGTAACTAGGATTACAGACATGATCCACTGGACAGGGCTCCCACCAGATATCAACTGAAAAAAACTAAACCCACTAATAGTAGGTTTTTAAAGGCATAAGATAACCCCTGGAAGCATTCAAAGATTTCCTTCCTTTCTAGGTGACAGTCCCTAACTCAAACACATCCTTTGTGTAGACGCCTATGGGAGAGAAGGCAGGGATTTTCCTGCTTGTGAAATGAGGATATTTGAAAGGGACGTTAAAAATAAGGTGGAAGCAGGGCACAGTCGTGCAAGCTGCTTCGTGGGTGCCTGTAGTCCCAGCTACTCTGGAAGCTGAGGCAGGAGGATCGCTTGAGCCCGGCTCAAGACTAGCAGGGGCAATATAGCGGGACCTCCATCTAAACGGGTGTAGGACCCGCAGTGCAGCTCAATGGTAGCATGCACAAGACCCTAGGTTCCATCCAGTTACCCTAAGAAAAAATAAAAATACAGGCGTAAGAAACGTCACACACACCCCTCATCCCCACACACAACTGCGGGATTGTACCCAGACTTTCACGCGGGTAAAATATGCCACACTCCCATCCAGGAGCTTCACCCTATCAGAGTACAGGTGTAGATCATCGGTGACGGGCTTTCACATTTTTAGGTTTTTTTTTTTTTTCCTCTTCCCTGCAATCCCCACTTGTCACCAGACGAGGGCAGTGGAGACGCCTATTCTGGCGTCAGTGGACTAGGGACTGTGAGAGCCGCACAGAGATGCAGCGCCTCCCGCATCCGCCAGAGGGCGCACATAACTTAAACTCCATCAACAGAAGTGTTCCTGGAACATCCTCCCAGGTTCGGGTCCAAGCGCTCAAGGTCAAGATCCCACGGGATGCTGGGGTTGGGCACGTGAGGTCCAGGTTGGTAGGGAATCAGCAGGTCCGGATGCTTTGCTATGAGGGCTCAGGCACTGGGACAAAGTGGATAGAGCATGAAGGCCGATGGTCTGGGCAAAGGCCTAGCCTTGATCCAGTCTCCTCTGCCGGTCGTGGTTACCCGCCTGTGTCTCTCCTGCACCGTGGCATTGCCACCAAATTATATAAAAACATCATTTAAGAAACTGTGACATGTTTACGGGAGTGACTTTCTGGAAGTAATTCCTTAAGCTAAAGAAACCATGACAAAAGTGAGGAAGAAAGAAAAGCAGTGTTAACTATCTGTAGCTTGTTGAATAAAAGGATCACACAAAAAGACTTCTGAGTTCTTAAGAAATTTTAAATTAGACTGTGTGGACCAGAATCCTCCCCACCCCCTTTGGTGGGACTGGTATTTTGAACTCAGGGAGTCAGGCTTGCAAAGCAGGTCCTCTGCTGCTTGAGCCACAACCACAGTCCATTTTGCTCTGGTTATTTTGGAGATGGGGGCGGGGGGCGTCTCGTGAACTATTTCCCTGGGCTGGCCTCGAACCTCGATCCTCCTGATCTCAGCCTTCCAAGTAGCTAGGATTACAGGCATGAGCCACTGGCACCCTGCTTTGGACCAGACTTTTCTGGGAGTCATTTACTTCATACACTTAAAAAAAAACCCAAATCACCAGCCCAACTTATTCCAGTTTTGGGGGCTGGATTCTCACTAAATGAGGCGTGTCTTTTAATCAGCACGTGATTTCTGCGAGTAAATATTTGATCTTTTTTCAGCAGCAGATTGATTGTTTATATGGAAACTCAAGTTAAGAGTGTGGTTAGGTCCGGCTTAGCCATGGGTCACTGGGTGACCTCGGCTAAGTCCCAGAGTCCCCAGGGCTAGGTGCAACAGGGAGGACACTGTGGAGGAGGAGCTGGCCCGCCCCGTACGGTGGCGCGATGACCCGGTGGACCCCGCGCGTCCTGCGCGGCGGGTCGCCCCTCCCCTGCCGCGGGAGGCGGGGCGTCCGCCGGGTTAAGAGGCGGCCTAGGCGCTGCCCGAGTTGTCGCCGCCGCCATGGACTCGCTGCGCGCTGCCGCCCGGCTGCAGATGGTTTTGGGCCACCTCGGCCGCCCCTCGGCCACCGCCGTCGTATCCTTTGCGCTGCGCGGGGCTCGGGCTGGACCGGCCACCGGGGATGGGGTGGCCTCCAGGCGCATTTCAGCTCCGCACCTGCCCTTTCCTTCCCTTCCTTTCTCCACGATTGTCACGTCTGACCCCCGTGTCCCCAGAGGACATGGACATTGTGACTGCAACCATGGCCGGTCGTCTTAGGGCTGGCGGTCTTTTGCTTTGCGAAGGTGGGAGGTCAGCACCGAGGGCCTGTCCTGTCTAGCATCATCGCCGTGGCCGCCAGGAGACCTAGCAATGTCCAAGGACCGTGGCACTGTAAACAGGAGCTCAGAGGCAGGCAGGCCACAGGGACCCGCTCAGGAGGGGACGCTAGGCCTTCCAGGGGTGGCAGCTGGACGCACAGGCCTTGATTTGGGCCGCCCTCTGCAGGTGGCCCCTCTCCACCCGCGCCCCTAGAGAGGTGTCGCTGCCGGAGCCTTGGGGTGCAGGGGGCCCCAGGTTCAGCACTGGTTTCTTAAACAGGAACTCGGTGCCCTCGCCTGCGTTCTCTGTGGGTCTTCAGAAGTGAAGCCCAGAAGAATGTGTGAGCTCCTGGTGGCAGGGAGACACGGGCTCAGAGAGATGTCACTGTGTGACACCTGAATTTGATCGCTCTCAATTGTGGTTTTTCTTTTTTTCTTTCCTTCCTACTTCTCTTTAAAGAAACAATAAAAAAGGGGGAAAAAATAGGGCTAGTGGTGTTGCTCAAGTGGTAGAGCTCCTTCCTCCTTAGCAAGTGTGAGGCCCTGAGTTCAAACCCCAGTACTATCCCCCCCAAAAAAACAAAACAAAACAAAACAAAACCTGAGTTGTGTGTCAAAAATCTGCAGTTACTTAGTGGGAAAAGGATCTTACAAAGATTTTCTAGTCCTTGAAGACATTTAAAGTTATACAGTTATATTCAATTGTGTTCTTGGAGTCATTTGTTGTTGTTTGGGATGTTGGGGATAGAACCCAAGTCAAATGCACACTAGGCAAGCATTCTACCACTGAGCTACAACCTCCTCAGTACATAGTATTTATTTTTAGGAGTTTAAAAACATTTTTTTAGTGCTGTGCTGGGGGTACATTGTGACAATTCCGAAGTTCTTACAATATATCAAGCTTGAATTCACCCCCTCCACCATTCTCCTGTATCTCTTCTCCCCCCCTCCTCAGTACTTATTTTGGAGATTTTTTCCTCCCCTAATGACCCAGCCTGTTTCTAAAATTGTGGACTGAAGTTCCACTAAATTCAATACCTTTTGTGAATAGTCCATGCTCTCCTTACTTCTAGAGTTAAACCTTTGGGTTTGTCATTCTTCATAGCTTCGTAGAAGGAAGCCATGTGGAACTAGAGACTGAAGCTGTGAAGTAGAGGGTGGGTCTTGGCTCAGCCATTGACCTCTGGGCAGCCTTGGCCAGTAAGTGGGAGATCCAAGTCCAGGTTTCTTATTCTGATCTTCTGCCATCACCTCAGGCTATTGTGACAATGAGGCAACATAAATAAGGATATGGACAGCAGTGTTCACCTGTCACGGGGGACATGTGAAGCCAGAGCACTCTGTGTCTAGTTAGGAAAACTTTCTGGTGAGAGCCAAGCCAGGCGGGCAGTTGTTTCTGGAAAACTTGGCTCCTAAATTTTACTTTGTTTACCTTAATTCACATCCTAGGTAGCTCACCCCACTTCAGAGACAATTTCCCCTGCCATCTCCTGTCCTCAAAAATTCCAGTAAGTAGATCTCATTTTAATTTGTGACTATACCGTATATATAAATGTTTTTTCAGTGGTGGCCAAGGTGTAATATACAATGTAACATGTTGCCTAATTACAATTTGCTATACAAATCTGTCTCCAGATCTTGTTCTAATTAGTATGATGGTGTAAAATTTGAAGACCCTTTATTGTATATATTCTAAAATTCAGACAGAAGGGCTGGAAGTGTGGCTCAAGTGGAGAGTGCAAGCAAATGCAAGGCCTTGGGTTCAATCCTCAGTATTGCCAAAAAATAAGATAAGAAAATAAACTTCAGGAAGAAGGAAAAATACAAAGAAATACATAATCAAACTTTTAAAACCCCAAGTATGATATAAATCACATTTAATTTAACTTGCATTTTGGTTATATTGACTCTTTAGCTAGATTTTCAGGGAGCAGCTGGGACAGGTGTGCACCACTGTACCAAGCAGATTTATTACCTTAAACCACTTTTAAAGGGGCATACCTGACCTTCATAAACATTTTCGTACAGCCAGAATTCCAATCTTAAGGAGTAGGGTAGATGACTTGAGTTTGTGGTATCCATATAATTATTTGGATGTTTTTACTGATTAATTCTGAGAACCTATTAACTAGTCAACAAAAATGTAAAATTTTTTGAATGGATTTTCCATTTGAAAAATAATGTATGTTCACTATAGAAAAATTTAAGAAAGAAATGGAAGGGATTTTGAATTATTACTGACAGGTAATCACTTAAAATTTTTTTAGTGTATTTCTGAGCAGTCTCTGTCTTTACAGTGTCTTGTTGTACATCACTGTAATCGAGTTTTATTCTAAGAATATTGTTCTCACCGCCACGCGCCCTTCATTTCTAATGTCTGAGTTGTACTCCAGTGAGTGGATAGAATGTCATGAGTTAGTTTTTTCTGTTAAGGCTATTTTTTTGGTTAATAATATGCCATAGTTAATGTTTTAGGTTTGAAGCTTTTTAAGCTTTTTCAGATTATTTACTTAAAGCCTGAAGAATAGAAACGTTGGATTCAGAAGACAGTATTTCTGAGTTTCTTGGCACAGACTGTTGACTTGTCATTTACAATTTGGACTTATTTGGGGTATTTGTTTTTTCCTATAGGTACACTTTGGATAATAATGTCCTAACCCTGGAACAGAGACAATTTTATGAAAAAAATGGTTTTCTTGTCATTAAAAATCTGGTCTCTGATGATGACATCCAACGCTTTCGGTACAGTGACATTATTTGTTGTTTCACAAAAATTCCTTTTAACACGTGGGTAATGGAACACAAGTCAGATTAGCTTCTGCATGCTCCGATGTGTTTATGGTGTGGCTTCTTTGGGAGTGTTTAGGATCAGGGGCTCTGGAGCCAGTCTGTCTGGCTTTCATCTCAGTTCTACCACTTAACACAGTGTCCTGCAATCCTCCCTGCCTCTGGGTGTTCATCTGTGAAATGGGCATAGGAATAATACTGATGTGCTAGCATTGTCATTAGGACAAAATAAGGTAGAACGAATGGAGGGCTTTCAGAACAGGGCCTCTCCGAGCACATGGTGGCTGCTACAGAAGTATTGCTATAATGGAAAATCCCAAATAGGATGCCACAACTGGAAAGTTCCTCATGTGACAGCTCGCAGTCAAAACACTAAAATATTATGTAAACTATTTTAGAGCACTAAAATATTTCTAAAATTATCTTCAGGCTACATGTATAAGGTGCATAGGAACCAGAAATGAATTTCGTGGTTAGACTTGTGTCCCTGCTACAGAATAGCTCGCCATGCGTATGCAAATATTCCAGCATTCAAAAAATACCCAAAGTCTGAAACAGTTCAGGTCCCATGCATTCCACAGAAGGGACCATACCCAACCTGTATGGTTACAATGTCACCAAATCACAAACACATTGCCCTGCTGGCCCAGTAAGGGAAGGAGTATATGAATTCTGGTAGGTGCCAGGCAGGAGGCTGGCACTTCTGGACAGTTGGCCATGTTCTCCTCCCTCCGGGCGGAGCTCTTTACTATGGCCACAGTGCCACTCACTACAGAGGAGCTGCCCTGCATCTGCAGCACTTCCACAGGACAGGCTAGCCAGGGGCTTGGAGCCCGTGGTCATGACAAAGCTTGTAAACTTTATTTTCTAGGGATGAGTTTGAAAAGATCAGCAGAAGTGAGGTGAAACCATTTGGATTGATGGTAATGAAGGATGTGTCCATTTTGAAGTCAGAACATTCTCTAAGTGAGAAAGTGGTTTCGAAGATTCAAGGTTTCCAAGAAGATGAGGAGCTGTTCAGATACTGCAGGCTGCCCCAGGTGAGAGGCTGCTGCTCCCTTCTGCTTAGCAGCCAGCCTGCAGGTCAGCCTCAGAACTCTGACCCCGCTCTACCAGGGTGCCAGAGCAAGCCTCTCAGTAGAGGTGATTTTTGCCCCCTGTGGGTGTTGGAAGGGTCTGTAGACATTTCTGGTTGTCACGATGCAGGGTGAGAAGGGGATGTGGCTTCTAATGGGTGGGGACCATGGAATGGTCACAGTGATTGGGAGATGATCTCTGAGCCATCGTTCTGCTTCCTATTGAGTTCCTTATGACAGCACATCTGGAATAAAACCCTTCCTCCACAGGATCTCAAGGAAGGACACCGCCTTCTTCCTGGCCGTCCTCTGTGGCTTTGGTTAGCAGAAGGATAGTCCCATTCTTCCTAAGTTCAAAGATATCTTTCTTGTAGGAAAAAAACTGGCTGCATTCCCAACTGACTGAAAAAATTCCATTTAATATAGAGTGTTACTGATTTAGAACAATTTCCAACTGCTGAATTTTTCATGCTTCCTTGTCAATGTTGTGAATATCTACTGGTTTTCAAACCACTGTCATCTTGGTTTTTGTATGGCTCTTGTATAAATAGTTATACTTTATTCCTTTTGTCTATAATTCTGATTGCCCATGAAGTTGGTTTTTGGCATTTCCTTTTTTTCCCTTAGATTCTGAAATACGTGGAGTGCTTCACTGGACCTGATATCATGGCCATGCACACAATGCTGATAAACAAACCTCCAGATTCTGGTAAAGGACTCTTCTTTGCTAGGGAGATGCAAGAAAAAAAAATTTCTTGGTGGTACTGGGGCTTGAACTCAGAGCCTCACACTTGCTAGGCAGGCGCTCTACCACTTGAGCCACTCCAGCAGCCCTAATGAGAAACAAATTGTTTAGCTAAAGGTGATGCACTAACCCTGCTTGTGTGTATAGCTGTCACACATTGGATGAGTTACTGTATGTGTCTTTACTTAAGTCTTAAAACAGCTTACATTATAACTACGCCAGACTGTCATCGTGATTTTAGGGTTACTGCTACATTTTCAGATGATGGGATCTCCCAAGATGCAGCTTAACAAACGTAACTTTTCACGTAGCACAAATCTCCCACTCAGTATCTGTAAGCTTTATGAGCCAACGTTAGTCATGATTGCATGGGTTCTGCACTCCTGATCTGCAGACATCGTTATGACTAACAAACTAAAGCTATTAGTATAAATCACACACTGGAGTTCTGAAGATGTCTTGTGCTCACCAAAATGGAGATTCTGTGACCTCATGTGCAGAGAGACTGATTCAGAAAAAGAACCCAGATTTCTGACTTTCAGTAACTATCCCTAGAGATTCGACTGCAGGTGGATCTCGGGGCACACTGAGAAAGAAATGAGCCAAGGGAGTCCTTTATCCTTTTCTACTTTTTCTTCCTTGTGACAGCAGGACAGGACTATGCTAAACCTTTCTCAGTGATGTCTTGCCTGGGAGATCAGGTGGCCAGGAAACCAAGTTCTAAGAGCAATGCTGGGGGAAATGGCCATGTTGTCAGTGGACTGACTGACCACCTGATGCCTGTCCTCCTGTGGGGAGACCTCTTAGAGGAGGGGACCTCAGCCTTGACTCTATGCCACACTCTTCAATTTCATCCATCCCTCTTTTTTTAATACTTCCTGCATACTGGGTCTGTGCCAAACCCAGAGTGAGAATGGAATAAAGCACAATTGATACAATGACATGTGTGTGACTTGCTAGAGAAAATTGCAAGTAACCAGCTACCAGGACCCAGAGGAGGGGATAGGATTTGGAATCGCCATTTGATTTGCTATTTCAATTTGGTGCTTATCTCCCAGGATTGATTTTTTGTAGTGTCCTTTTATTTGTTTGGCTTTTACAAGGATAGGTCGGTGTTCTGGGTCTTAAGGGAAAGGATAGGAGTCCTGATGCCTGAGCCTTTTTTGACAGCAGGCTCTGTTTCAGGCAAGAAGACATCCCGGCATCCTTTGCACCAGGATCTGCACTACTTCCCCTTCCGGCCTCCCAATCACATCGTTTGTGCGTGGACTGCCATGGAGCACATTGACCGGAACAACGGTTGTCTGGTTGTGCTCCCCGGAACCCACAAGGGACACCTGCGGCCACATAGTTACCCCCAGTGGGAGGTAGGTCTGCCTGGCCACTGAATCTTAATCAGAATCCCTTTTACTGTTTTTGTTTCCCATTGACTTAGAAATCAGTGTACATTTCCTTTCGTAGCAAAGCATAGTCCTGGGGTTTGTTTGCAAGTAGGACCAGGGAAAGTTTGAGGGTGTCAGATAAAGTATTCATCATATTTGTCCACACATGTTTGAAAGCCAGCCCACATGGGGACCTTGGATAGGTGCTGCATAGGATCCCAGCTGATAAAGGCTCATTGCAGAGGTCAGGCATAAACACGTCAGCCCAGCATGTGATGGTAAGTGCCAAGTAGGCCTTCCTCACAGATTGATGGCACTCAGTAAAGAAGAAAGGGTTATCTCCCATACCTGCAAGGACCAGCAGAGACTCTGGGGGTGGCTGGTATGGGAGCCAAGTCCTGAAGGACAGGGTAGCATGCCATATAGCAAAGAGGCTCCATAGAGGTAGGGTCATGGTGGGGTCATGGGCAAGCATGACCTGGCTAAGGTGCAGGAAGGACCCTGGGAGCTCACAGTCCAGATGGGCTCAAGAATGGGGTACATTTTGGGGAGCAGCCAAGGAAGAGAGCTTGAAAGAGCACACTGGGACCAGACTGGACACGATTTTAACACTATTTATTCGGGGAGATTAAGGGCCTTGTTGCTATAGGAGGCTGAAAGATCTTTTATTTTTAAAAAACTTTTATTGAGGCATAATTGTCATATAATAAACTGTACCTATTTCGAGTGTATAATTTGATCATTTGTACACACACACACACACACACACACACACACACACACTACCACAATCAAGAGAATCTCTCCCACCTTCTACTCCAGGCACCCACTGAGTGGCTACCTGTTCCTGTAGGTTAGTTTGCATTTTCTAAAATGTCCTATAATTCTAATCCTATAGCATTCACTCTTATTTTTGGCGTGGGTTCTCTTGCTTAGCACAGTTATTTTGAGATTCACCAATGCCGTTGGGTGTCTCAAGGACTTGGTCCTTTCTGTGCTGAATAGTACTCTGTTGCAGACTGTGACCGTGGTTTGTTTATCCATTCAGCTCTTGATGCTGGGAACTATTTCATGCTTTTGCATCCATGAATGATGGGATTGAATTGGTTCTTCAAGAACAATCATCTCACAGTCCAGCATAGGAAGCACTGGAGGTCTAGGAGGCCAGAGGCAGAGAAGCCTCTGGGTCTAAGCTGACCGTCTGAAGAGGGTCAGAATGGAAAGTGCACCTGTGGCTAAAGGAAGGAGACTGAGTGTGGCTGTGTAGGAAATGAAGCCTTTGAGAGCTTCTGTCTCACTAAGGTAGAGGTCTTGCACTGATGATTGGTATTACTTGAAAATATTTGAGTGTGGTTTCTGCTATAAAACCTGCAACTGTGAAGTTCTCCAATGAAGGGTTAGGTCAGGGTTGGTGTAAGCAGCAGAATTAGGCTCTGACTGTCTTGTGCCAAAGGGAATGATGGGTTGGAGGGCTCAGGGAGCAGGCTGGGTCCCTGATATGCTACTTAGGTTGAGTGGCAGCAGGGTGAGGTCAGCCTAATTTAGGGAAGGACACACATCTGCCTTGGCTATGAGAGAAGGGCACCGGGTCAGTGTCACACCTATCCCACAGGAAAATGGTCATTCCTCAGAAGGATTGTGAGATACTCTCAGCAAGAGGAGTGGGTTGCTTGTGCCACCCCAGTGCATAAAGTCTTGTAAATTGTTACTGCTTCCCACTTCATCTTCTTAAATAAGCACAGAATTCATTGCCTAAAGCCACAATTGACTTTGGAAATAGTTATAAACAAACACAATATTTCCATTTACTTTTCTTTACTGTTCTCTTTTTTACTGTGATGTTACATAAGTGCTTTGAGCACAGGAAAAATTGAGCGTTTTCTCTGTCTATTTTGGGAGAAGAACTAGCTTCCCTAAGACAACCCTGGATAATAGCAGAATAATACAAAGTGCTGAGTAAGGTAGATGTCATGTGAGGAAAGAATGTCAATAGTTCAGGCTGCAAACGCCCAAGACAAAGACATGCCTGCACAAACCTCAGGAGGCAAAGTTGGTCTAAATCGGTTATGTCAGTCATGAAGGGCAGGTGGACATTCAAAATTTTTCATTTGGCCTTCTAAATCAATGATTTTAATATAAACATGTGACTTTTTAAAACCAGGCATGTGAGAAACGTTTGTATATTAACAATGTCAGAATATAGTTTAGAAATATCTTTCTCCTAGAATAACTTAGAGGCCTGGGCTTTCGCTGCTGAGTCGTTGACAACGTTTCGTTATAGCGGTTCCTTATCTAGAGATCGGGCTTTGCTTGTGTGTTCTAGGGAGGCGTTAACATACTGTTCCACGGCATCCAGGACTACGATCAGAACGACGCCCGAAAGTACCTTGTGATGGAAAAGGGAGACACGGTTTTCTTTCATCCTTTGCTCATCCATGGATCTGGTCAGAACAAAACTCAAGGATTCCGGAAAGTAGGAATTCACATTGTTGCGGTTTTCAAAGATGGATAGGTCAGAAACAAAAACCCTTAGCCGGGAGAGGTGGCTCAAGCCTATAATCTTAGCTACACAAGAGGCAGAAATTAGGAGGATTGTGGTTCGAGGCCATCCTAGGCAAAAAGTTAGCAAGACGCATCTCAACCAATGGCTGGGGATGGTGGTGCATGCCTGTCATCCCAGATACATAGAAAGCATAAATAGGAGGCTGGGGGTCCAGGCTGCTCTGGGCTTAAAGGCACTGCCTTGGGACAAAATTTCAGGGCCTGCAAACAAAACCCCTCGACAATCAAGTTCAATAATATTTTAATAAATCAAAAGTTATTGCCAATAATCCATGCTGTGCATGATGCCAAAACTTTAAATAAAAGTCAGGTTAGGACACTGCACTCAGAGCTGTGCAAGTCAGAGGTACCAATGCAATGATGCAAATCGTGCTGGGAGTTTTAATACACTGACTTCACAAGTTCTCGGTACTTTTCCAGTGATTGCAACCTTCTGTCAAATATTCACCAGATTTCATAGCAAGATGGATAGAGGAGGGTACGTTGATCCTTTTGTCTTAAATGGCATTTGTTCCTCCGTTCTAGAAATTTGATATTTGGAGCATCATAGAAAGTCCTTCTGATGGATGTGATCTCCTTGAGATAATTGGCTGAGGGCAAGGGAGGCGAGTTTTAACTATTGATTTGCAGTTTAGATCTGGGTATATCTTTTCTAGAATAGGCCTTGCCCTCAGAAGGAAACAGGATAGGTATAATGTCAATGTAGTGATCTTTAAATGCCCTCTTTGATTTGTGAGATGTATATTTTCCTTGTCAAAGTATTTTTAGTTTTTGTATCTATTATAATAACCCATCCCAAGTTCAACCAGGTGGCTAACTTTTATGACTAAGAAGGTGATGAGTAGCAGTGAGATACATTCCTTTTTGGAATTTTGGTATGTCTGCCTAACAGGAAAATTGAAATACTTAAAAAATTAAAGATCTCTTACTTAGGTGATTTCATTGCCTGTCCTACATATACCTTTTAAAAATAAATATCACAGTTATTTTAAAAATCTTTTATAATTGCTCAATTAGCCTGTGACTGGGGGAAATCAAGAGGTTGAGCTACCGGAGACTGATTTAGGAGACAATGGGCCAACCTTCCAATTTAGAAATTAAATGCTACGTGAAATAATTCACTTTCTAGAAAGAAGACTTGCTCAGTTGCTGGAATTGATGGAATCTGTGGGATGCTTTTCTACAGTGTCAATTTGTTCACTCCACACAGGCCATTTCCTGCCATTTCGCCAGCGCCAATTGTCACTACATTGATGTGAAGGGCACCAGTCAAGAATTCGTTGAGAAGGAACTGGTGCAGCTAATAAATAGACAGTATGGAGTTAATTATGCTGAATTGAAGGTATGCTTGGATGGAAAAACAAAGTAATTCCATACAATTCAGACGATTAATTAATACCTAATTTCCTTAGCAAGTACACAGTGTTTGGGTGTAGAGCTTGATTCAGAGGCACTGCTGAGCCCACCTAAGAATGACAAAGGAATCCCAGTTTGCACTTGCTTCCCAAGCAGGAGCTTCAGAGCTTCAGCATCTTCTTAGGTCTTTGGTGGTCCCATTGGAAGTGAAGGATCCTGTTCCACACAGGACAGGCAAGATGACAAGGGGAGAACAGACTTAGCTGAGAGGAATTGAAGGACACAGACCTTCTGAAAGCAAATGGAAAGGTTGGAATCCCAGACCTCTTCTTCAGGAGGACCAGTATCTATGCATCAGGAATTCCAGTGATATTCCCAGAGGGCAATTCCTGAGCAATGAGAGACAAAATGTGCATGGATCAGAGATCAAAGAGCGCTAATGCTTATCCAGAAAGGTCTTAAGGCCCTTTAAGGCCCTGTAGTGAGCCTTCCTAAATAATCAATACACATCACTTGTAAGTGATGTGTCTTTAACTAGTGGATATGAACACTGCTGCTGCCCAAAGCAAGTAAACAACTCATTCACTTTGTACAACACTCACATTTTAGCCCTGAACCAAGATGCTGATCCTATTTAATTTTATTTGTATCAGATAATCACAAATGTAAGTGCTCTATTTCACTCCCAAAAATAAAGAGACTGAGTGTAACAGTAGCTTGGGCCGTCCAGTGCACATACTCCTGTGCCATCCAGAGTCATCTTCGGAGAGCCTTCCCAGCTGGGGCACCTTGCTTCCTGCTTTAGAACTTAGAAATGTAGGAACCACGCCTGAAAGTGCTCTCAGCTCACACTTACAGATCCTAGAAATTCTTGTCTTTCTTCTTTGTCCAGTACTTAAAATGCCTTACCTAGCCACATATATTGTAGGCTGGGGCTTTGATCTAACAAGTATACAGCCTTCCTTATTTGAGGTTCCACATTTGTGGATTCAACCAACTGAAATATGTAAAATATTCAGAATATTTGAAAAAATTCATCTGTACTGAACACGAACATTTTTATTATCACTATTCCCTAAACAATACAATGTAACAACCCATTCACACAGCAGTTAAATTTTACCACATGTTATAAGTAATCTAAGGTAGGCCCTGGTGGCTCACACCTGTAATCCTAGCTACTCAAGAGACAGAAATCTAGAGGATTGAGGTTTGAAGCCAGCCAGGGCAAATAGTTTGAGAAACCCAATCTCAAAAATACCCAACACAGAACAGGGCTGGTGGAGTGGCTCAAGTGGTTAAGTGCCTGCCTAGTAAGTATGAGACCCTGAGTTCAAACCCCAGTACCACCAGAAAAAAAGCAATGTAGAGATAGTTTATGGTATATGGGAAGGTGTGGGCAAGTCATATGCAAATACTGTGTCATTGTGTAGAAGAGGCTTGGAATCTAGGGAGTTTGGTATCTGAGGGGATCCTGAACAGTACATTAGGTTGAAGGTTTGTCATGGTTGTGCTAAATGAATACCTCCCATGTTAATTTCAATTGCTTTATAATTTATAGTTTATCAGGTTTATTTAAAAATATCAATACCAACTTCTGCAGTATAATTCCTTCTAAGGTACAAAAATCACCTGTATGTCCCTTTTCTTAAATTCCTCACCAAAACCCACCTGAAGAATCAGAATAGATCCATGGTAGCTGAAGTGACAGAGATAGATTTCAGAGTGACATTCTTTCTACTATAGCTTTCCTCAGAAATAAACAGGAAATAAGAGCATATAAGAAAATGGGGGGAGATCCCATGTAAACCAGGAACCAGGCATCATTTCCCTGTTATCATCTAACAGTAGAACTCTTGAAGTAGTTCAGCAAATAACACAAAGACAAGCAGAAAGATGACTAGTAAAATGTTTGTACTGTGACTGACCCAGGCAGGTCACCCGTCATCCACAAGTGTGCCAAGACTGATAGCTTGGGGACCCACTGACTCAGGATTGTTAATGCTGTTCTAGAGATGGGTGGTTACTTGGAGTCTCGGGACATGTTTTATAACTATTAATGTTCCCCTCTCTTTAACCATTTCTAGAAGTAGAAATCTCCTTTGTCTCGAGGTAATAGGCCAATAGAAGTGTTCCATAAACTCTTTCTGTTTGGCATTATTTCCAGGATGTTTGGAAGTTTCGAGCCCGAGTTGTGAAAGGAGAAAGGATTAACCTTTGAAATAGCTTTCAACATCAGTCTTTTAAAGGAAATCAAAACCAAAAAAGAAATCTAAGGAAAATGTTTTCTTATTCGGATGATGTAATTTTTTCTATCACTTGTTAACAATATCAAGAACCATGTATCAGAGACTTAATTGTGAGGAGTAAATTTTGCAGGGCAGTGCTGTTGCTTTAATGGAGGTAAAATAATGAAAGTGAAATGTGCATGTTCTAAGAAAAACTAACCTGGTGTTCCAACTAATAAAGGTGATTGGTGTACAATTTAAGAGACTCAACCAGTTTCTTTCATTCCATTGGCTCTCTACCCAAGCAGAAATGAATTCTTTGAAACTCGGTGTACATCAAGTATGCATCCTCTTCTGGTAAACTTCCCTGTTACCAATGTCATGTCATGAGAGATTTCTTTTCAAATGCATAGTACACTGACTAGAAAAATGCATAGTACACTGACGTTTAATGAAGGGCATAAGAAGGGTGTCATGGAGTCAAGATAAGGGTGGATCCTCACACTCTGACACAGGCTCCTGAGGTTTCTTCAACCCAGTATCTTCCTTAAAGCTCAGATCTATTCCAAAGCCCCTCACCGGGACAAGTGCCACCTCTCTATCCCAGCTGCTCTGACCCCTCTTCTGAGGCTCCCCCAAATCCAACAAACCTGATAGGTGCTTCCAGGACCTGTCCTGACCATGGATATCTGCTCCATGCCCTGCTGGCTACTGGACATGTTAGTAACACCTACTTGTAACCATTGTCTCATTAGCAAATCGTGAACTAAATTCTACATACCAAACAGTTGTTGGCAAATGAATACCTGGGTCAGCCATCTAACTGGTTCTTTGTCTCTGAGAACTTTCCCATCGCCATCTCTGCCAGTCTAGCAGATGGTCTGGTACTAGTTCTCACTTGATTCGGCAACAGAGTTCTCACTGAGTGGGACCGAAAATGCCACACTGCAGGGGTTTGTTTGCTGTGTTTGCTTTTGCGTTGTGTACAGAAGGAGAGTTGTGCCCATACGTTCTTCCTAGCCAACCATGTTTCTTAAGCATCATTCATATTGTAGATAAGAAGCGTGCTCCAGAGGGATGGAGTGCAGTGGTGGGGGACTTGCCTGGCGTGCACAAGGCCTTGGGTTTTATCTTCGGTGTGTCTAGCCTTCCTTATGGTAATCCAAACTCTCCAGTGCAAATTTAGATAATGAAGTTTAAAGCACACAAATATAGGTTCTTGATGGAGGTGCTTCAAAGGTGATTGATCCTCCCTAGGATGTAGATTAAATTTAATTGGCATAACACACTCTGCACTGTTTAAAAAAATAGCTTTAATGAGATATAATTCATACACCATACAATTCACCCTTCAAAGTGCCCAGTTTGCAGATACATGCAAACCTCATGCAATTTTAGCAAAAATTCGGTCACCTCTCCCAAGAAAATGTGCATGTATACAATGGACTATTATTCAGCCTTTTTTTTTTTTGTGGTGGTACTTGGGTTTGAACTCAGGGCCTCACGCTTGCTAGGCAGGCATTCTGGCATGTGAGCTTCTCCACCAGCTCACATTTAGCCTTAAAATGGAGGGAAATGCTAATATATGCCACAGCACAAGTGAGCGTTAAGGACAGTTGCCAAATGAAATAAGCCAAGAGTGGGACAAATAGTGTATGATGTCATTTATATGAGGTCCTTTAGAGTCATCAACTTTTAGCCTCCAGCATGATAAAGTAATACATTTGTGCTTTTCAAGCCACCACATTTGTGGTTATTTGTTACAGTAGTAACAGGAATTGAACACATTTCCTGTGTGTGAATAAATGGCACAATTGGGGCCTTTTCACTGTGGCTGAACACAGCCCAACAGCTGGGCTCCCAAACAGAGAGTGGAGCTTCTTCAACGTTTGCCCCATCTATTCAGGGCCGAGGTGCAGTGTAGTTCCAGTAATAACACTGGGCGATGCTTGTTGTTGCCTTACCTGGTCCCCCATAACTCCAAACACCTAGTGCTGAGCAGCCTCGAGGTGGAGAAAAATTGGTTTCTAAAACTGAGCCTTCAGTCTGTGCTTGCCGAGGGCACTCCAGGGTAGTGTTTCTCAAAGTGTGGTCCCTGGCATTAGAACCTCCCACTTGTTCAAAATGCAGCCTGTGTGGCCCTGTCCCGGCTTATGAAGTAGAATCTCCAGGTGAAAATGAGCCCTGTGCATCTATAAAAATTGCCTTCAAGTTTTAGAATAGTTTTCGAAGCTCTCAGTTGAATCTTCAGTCCCTTTGCCCCACCTCCACCCAATCTCCTTACCTGGCATTAGATAAACCTCTGGGCTCCAACTGATAGTGACACATCCTGGGGTCAATGATATTAATTTAGTGGATCACAAGCTCAAATGTTTTCATTTCAGTGAGACAGGTCCATTACATAGTCCAAGTTGGCTTCAAATTCACAATCCTCTGACTTAGCCTCCCAAATGCTGGGATTACAGGTATGTACCACTATACCCAACTTCACAACCTCAATTTTTGAATAAAAATTTTTAAATGGAAAAGAAAAGATCAGAGAACCCTGTTCATAGTAAATGTAGGTTGTGTTTACCATGATGCAAATGAATTTCTTACTAATGGGTATGGTCAAAAAGTATGATACCCACAACCTGACTCATGACTCACACAGCTCGCACTTATATTCATTTTCTAGGGCTGCCTTGACAAAATACCACAAACTGAGTGGCATAAACAACTCACAGTTCTAGAGGCTTGAAGTCTGAGATCAAGGTAGTTGTGTGTGTTGGGGGGGTTCATTTGAGGCCTTTCTCCTTGGATTGCAGATGGCTGCCTTCTCCCTGTGTCTCACGTGGTGTTCCCTGTGTTTGTGTCCAAATTTCCTTATGAAGACACCAGTCATATAGGGCTGGCCTTTATTTACTTTACTTAACACTTTAAAGAGTCTATCTCCAAATGCAGTTCCATTCTGAGGACCTGGGGGGTGAAGATTTTTGGAGGACACAATTCAACCCATGATATACACCTTGAAGCAGCAAGTGGAGTCTCTGTCTTATTTCTGCCACCTTTAGACTTACATCCAAACACAATCACTTTTTATTAATATGCCTTCATTTTACCAATATCACAATCCCTTTATTTCTTGGGTAAAATTGGTATTCCTTGGTACAATTTATACCTCTTACAAGACAGAGCCAGTCTTTGTAGCAAGGATGTAGCAGATGTGTAGAGACATCTGTAGTGGAAAGTGGAATGAGGGTGAGATAAAGAAAAGGAACCTAACTTTTGTCACCCCCCATTTCCAGAAGAGAACTCATCAGACAAAGTACTTGTGGCCAGTACAGTCTGGATATTCAACATGTCCCTTTTAAAAGTATTCTGATCCTGACCAATGACTCCACTTCTGGGTAGACACCTAAAAGAACAGAAAGTAGAGACTGGAAGATAAATTTGCTCATTCACACTTCTGGCAGCTTTATCCACTCAGGGTCCCTCAAAGAGTGAATGGATGAACAGGATGTAAGCTATACATACAATAGCATACTTCAGCCTTTAATGGTTAATCTTCTCAACTCAATTGGATCTATCAGATCAGTAAAGCATACCTCTGAAGTCTCTGTTACCAGATATGATTAGATACTGAGGGCTCTGACCTAAGGAATGGATGGCTTCAACATTGAATAGAGAATTCAACTAAGATATATTGTAAGCACTTTTTTTGGGAAGAGGGGCTGCACTGGGGTTTGAACTCAGGGCCTCACGCTTGCAAGGCAGACACTCTTACCACTTCAGCAACTCCACCAGCCCTTATTTGTGATGGGTTTTTTGAGATAAGGTTTTGAGAACTGTTTGCCTGGGGCTAGCTTTGAATCACTATCCTCTTGATCTCTGACTCTTGATTAGCTAGGATAACAGGTGTGAGCTACCAGTTCCCGGCTGTAAGCACTTTTGTAAAGGTCACAGTGTACCCACAGTACAACAATTTGATAAAAAAATGTTTAAAAGATTGAATAGACTATTGGGAGGTGGTGGAATGTGGAAGGTGGAGCCTGATAAGAGGAAGAGGTCACTGGGGGCATGTCCTTGAGGGTTCTTGCCCTGGCCTCTTCCTGTATTGTTCCACTCTACTTCCTGTCCACCATGATGTTAACTGCTTCATCACACCCTCACTACCATCATGTTCTGAAACCTCTAAACCCACTAGCTAGGTAAATATTTACTCTTTTTGTTTTTGTCAGGCATTCTGCCACAGCAATGACAAAGCTAACAGCCTTGAAAAGGAAGGAAACTCTGACACATGCTATCACCTGGATGAAATTTGAGGACATTATGCTAAGTGAGATAAGTGAGTCCCAAAGGGACACATGTGGAATAATTATTTATATGAGGTCCCTAGAGTAGTTAAATTCATAGACACTAAAAGCAGAATTTAGTTGCCAGAGTTTGGAGGGAGGGGAAGAGGGAAGTTAGTGTTTAATGGGGACATTGGATCAGTTTCACAAGAAGGAAAGGGTACTGCAGGCAGATGGTGGTGACAGTGTATCTTGTTACGATTTTTAAAAAACAGGGCAAAGACCAGAAAGGGGCTTTCAAGCACACACAACGAGCAAGGCCTTTGCATTCCCTTGGTCCCCAAATTCATGGAAGAGGGTCCTTCCTGCTTGTTTTGTTCTGGGTTTGTAGGAGCAGCTCATAAACTTCTTTACATTATTCTCCAGTGAAACAACCACAGACTCAGGGTAAATCCCTCCAAACCACAGAGAAGCTAGCTTCTCCACGTTCTATCAGGGCCTGGTGAGTCCTTCCCCAGCAATTCATGTCTCGGTTCTTCCTGCACACAGCTCAGTGGTTGGTCACTAAAAGGAAGCACCTTTCTTCCCACCAGGGCCCTGGAGAGTCCATGCCTGGTCTGAAACCCTCAAGCCTTGGTCTGCAGCTGCTGCCCAGAGCAACCACAGAGCCCCCAAAAGACCAAAATACAAAAACAGAGGCCCCTTTGCGATTCCTCCATATAAGCCAAAGGCTAAACCCCAGCCCAAATACTCCCCCTGTGCAAGTCATTGAAAATTTCCTCCTTGGTTTCTTTATTTATGAAATGTGGCATCATAGGGTGTTTTTGAAGATTAAATAAGAGTGTTGGGGGGTCTTTCTCTCTCTTTCTCCCTCCCTCCCTTCCTTCCTCTCTCTCTTTTGTTTTGTTTGGTTTCTTGTTTTGTTTTGTTGAGATGGGCTCTATTATGTAGCCCAGGCTGGCCAGAAACTTGCAGTCTTCTTACCTGAACT